CCCCAAAACCCCAAAACCCCAAAACCCCAAAACCCCGAATAGCAAACAAGGTATAGAATTAAGAAAAGTTGTATAATATCCATAATTTAACAGCCTCACCATCTCTAATATCGCGTATCATATTAACCACCCAAAACCCTCAATAGCTTCTCTACTCACTCCCCTTCCCATCTAAAAATCAATTTCGTCCCTTCATCTAGACTATCTTCTCTCTTTCTCTTCTCTATCCTTATGAACTCAGCTGCCCAGAAACTAAAGAACAAGACAAGCTCCTCCCTTGGACTACACAGTGAAGTTTTGTTAAGGAAATACTTTTTAGTGGTGAAGAAAGAATTCAGATTTACCTCCGAATATCTCTGAATAACTCTCCTTCATGAAAATTCCCAAATCTGCGCTGTTGTACTGCCTAAGCCAGCTTGGCTCAAGACAAGCTCAGGCTTCAGGATTAGAACTTGTCTGAAGACGAAGACTGGTCTGGATAAGTGGGAATCAGAGTAGAGAAGTAAGAGAGGAGTTAAAGGTTGGGTTACTCTTTCTAATCGACTCCCTTTTCCATCTCATTCCCATTCCATAAATCCTAACGCTTGAGACCCAGCTTCCTATTTTATCTCATGAATAACCTTCATGAATAAATTTAGAGATTCTTAACAAGATTCATGGAAACGAGAAGAATTAAAAATAAAGAAGATGGAGTTAGGATGGCAACCGAGTTGAGTGAGTCTCCTGCTTTGCTGAAGTCCATTGCGGACCCTGGACAAGAGGATGAGCTAGATCAACAGCATCTCCCATCTGCTAGAACTACATGGAGCCAGAGGGAACCCTTCTTCTTGGTCTTTAAGAGTTTCTTCTGATATTTTTGTTTCTCAAGGTTGATCCATTGATTATTCTCAATCGCTGCGTCCACTGGACACTTTACACAACTCGGTATCACTACCCCCTGAGATATCTCTTATTAAACCTTTTCCTTCTATCATTGAGTAAAAAGCTGCGATTGTCTCAATCCAAAAACTAAAATACCACTAATAACACTACTCAGCCCCCACAGACATCTTCCACATCCTAAGTGCTCAAACTAGCTTAATTTCCATTAACCTACACTCAAAAAAGTCACGAAAACACTAGGTTAGCTTAATTTTAAATTTTTTTACAAAGAGTTCAATAGGAGCTACCCAGGCGAGAAACTGGATAGTAGAAGTTTTTGTTGGCCAAGATTTGGAGGAGGAATAGGCCAAGTGAACACGAGAGATGTACAAACAGAGGTGTTATGAATGGACTTTTGGGGGTGATAGAGTTAGGTTTTTGAAATTTTGTAGATAATTAGAGAATCTTTGAGGAGGGTTTAGTAAGAGGAGGTAGTTTAGGATGGAGAAGAAGGGATGAAAGGAAATTGTAAGACAAGAGAAATATATTTCTCATGCTTGCTTGGATTTTTATGCTAATCTAACTTTCCATTCTGACAGATAATTCTAATTGTAAGAATTTATAACAAGTCCTAAAATTGATCGCGGTGGGATTTTAGTTTCTGGATCTCAATACTTCATCTCTCAAAATGCTTATTCTGGGGTCATCTGATTTTTGGACAATGTAGCAGCACAAAGTAATCAAGCTCTGAGAGCTGAGTGCTTTATCTAGTTTCGTCCTTGAGAAAGCAAATGATCACTTCTGAAAGTCAGCTACCTCCCTCTTGATGGATCTTTGGCATGGGATCTTGCTTATATTCTTGAGAGAGGTGATTCCAATTGTATAATAGACCAAATCCTGAGTCAGAAGTTGCTGAGGAATGAACGAAGAAAGAAGGATCTGCATTCTGCCAAAAATGGCTTCTATTGGCAAAGCTCTGTGCTTCTTGTCACTAATATCAGAAGTCTGGTTTCTGTAGGTATTCTTGAAAAATCTTTTCAGTAGGCGTAAGGCAGTCTTGAATGCTACATCTTTACGGTCTCCAGGAAGTCAGGGAGGAGTAGGTAGGGTAATAATAGATTCTTCGGCTATTTCTTGAATATTTGACTGAAACCGAGTAGATACTCTGGGCTTGCTCGTGGCTCTCATATTTTCAATTGCTCTTGTTGGGGTTGATGGAGCTTCTCTCTCGGTAATCTGAAGCTCCTTTGTAATGGATGTTTGCCTTCTACCAGATTCTTCAAGAGGAGTTGAACCATCAAGAATGTTTTGAGATTGTACAGTTGTGCACAAATTGTTATCAGTTTTGAAGATTTTTTGATATTTCTAAAATTGATAGTATGAATTTATAATATAATGTTGCTTCACGACTCCAACTGCAATAAGATACAATGTTAATTTAACAGATCTGGATATCATTTTAAATTTATCCCAAGTCTAGAGAAATTGGATGTTTGCTAGCAAGGTTATAACAAATTTTTATTTTGAACTCTTTTGAATATTCTGACCAGAGTAAAGTGTTGCTTTCGAAGAATTTTAGAATCAAAGCTCTGTACTTACTCTATCCGGGCTCTGGTCTGTCAAACTTGCGAAGATACTTCCAGGATGTAAGTAACTAAAGCCATTAGACCCAAACATATATCTCCTTACTCTATAGATACATCCATTTTGCTTATATCAGTAATTTCAGTAAGCAATTTTACGTTTGGCTGTTTCATATCCATAGGGAAATTCTTGTTCAATATTATTATACTATCTCGGGGTTTTGGGGTTTTGGGGTTTTGGGG